GCTATTTCGCTGAGAGTGCGCAGACAAGGTCGCGAAAATTCGGGGCCCACTTTTAGAATTAGAATGCAACCACACCAAAATGGCAATCTTACTTTGGTCTGGATGTGCAATTCTAATCTGTAATGAATACGGAATCGGGGAGAAGGGAAGGAGGGAAGGTTCTCGTCTTCGAGCTTCAGAACTGTTCCTGAGCATCACTGCAAACCTGCGAAGCCAGTGCCCGTCCGATCCTTTCCTGCGCTTGAGCCTCCCCTTTGAAGGCGCAGAGCTCAGGGTTGTGGCCCCTACAACAACCTTCCCACCGCGAAGATTATGCTTGTTGCCTGTCTGTAGCATTCATGGGAACTGCGCTTTGAACGCTTTGGATGGTTTGGTGCAGAAATGCAGAAGAGAAGGTTTGTGGTTAAAGGGTTGCTCTGTTGCAAAAAGCTGCTGCTTCAGTAGACCCAATATATGGAAAAATTGAATCTTTGACGGGTAATCAGTGTTAGAGCATCAAATCGAGAATGTCTATTGAATACCAGCTGCATTGTGCTATGGTCATGCTTGCTCCTTTCTTTCTAGGCAATGTGGCAAAGTTGTAGCGTCACCCTTATTTTGAACAGCCTCCTTACATGATTTCTTGGTCGAAAATGTATCATTGTTCTCGAAAAAGGAATAGCGGGTCAGCCAAGCATTCCCATTTTGTCTCAAGGAAAAGGGAAGGTTCACATGACCCGAGATATCTAAATGGTGGAACTTAGTTCTTTCCCTATACCAGGGTCTCCCGATCGGATAAATCTCAGATTTACAGTTTAGTCTACCTAAGTAGCATCAGGGAAAAATGAGGGCCTTCCCACTGACACTTGTTGGTACATACTGTAACGTCGTCTTGAGATCACGGCGAGCTGCTCCGTGCACAAAGTGGGCGGGATCCTAGTACCAACAGACGCTCGGAACGGACGCTACCCGTGCTCCACGTGGGACGGAACTTACGTGCGTCCGATGATGCGCGCAACAAATTGCGCGGCGAAGTGCGTGGCGGTTCGAACGACCCTGGCGCCTACCATTTGGACCCAAATTTGAAGTAGAGTAGATTAGTATGGTAAGCTGATCCTTCTAATCGACTCTACCCATTTTCCTCCGCGTCCTGGGTTATTAGGAAACAAATAGACAGTTCTGCCCCTGGCACCGCCCACTCGTGTGCATGCCCTGCCCCTTTGGGTGGAGCTCCACAGAGCTCACACGTGCTCTACTGGTTTTGCCCTACGCCCAACCCATCTCATACTGTACCCGTTTCTGTAGGTGCTGCTTCAGAACATCGAATTGTCGGACAAAAAACAGATAAACAGACAGAGCGCGTTACTCATAGTAAGATGTTTATGAGATCTTATTTATTAATAAGATTGTATACATTTGATACGAATCGCTGGAAGAATCCACATTCAAACGATTATTATCACTCTATAAGACTGAAGTAGTCGACCTTTTGAAAAACCAGATAATACCACCAATACCATAGGTTCCATGCTAGAAATGTTAGAGGAAATCCGTATCGGCATTGTTTGTCTATCCGCAGCGCTTGTCTCGAATAATCTTGGGACATCTGAAAAGATTTCAGTAATAAAAAGACTATGCTGAAAAATACTGCAAAAAAAGGAAACAATAATTTCATTTAACCGAGGATCGAATTCGGACCAGACCAGCTAGTTTTCCCAATTCTTCCAACTATTTCATAGATTGCTCTCGGACAGTAGGTCATGGAAACTGCCCAAAATAATCGATGAAGCCGCAGCTTTGTGAAGTTGGAGAGAAGTTTTTTTTGGTTTCGTCCCCATGACTCTCCTTTTTCTCAAAACGTTCACAAAAATCATCGGGCGAGTCTTCTAGCAATATCTTCCTTCTATATAAGCAACGGATAATTGGCGACGATTCAGGGAGTGAAGGGATTATGTTTTTGATCTATGAGAATGAAGATAGGAAATCCTTATTGCTGCAGCCACCTTGCCTTCAAACTTGAATATACGATATTAGTTGAAGACTCAGTTCACGATAAAAATGATTTTCGAAGTTTTCCGTAGGATAGACCTGTGATTGAATAGCACAAGGGATGTTGTCTGGTCGAAAAACGGCTTAGATAGGACGCAATAAAGTCCCCAAAATCGGCTCGGCCAACGGACACGCCCAGAGAAAGACGAGTTCTCGGGGCGTTGTCGAGGCTGTAGAAGTTGTACCTATAGCACCGAGACGCACATGTTGCATGCAGGAAGCTCGCTGTAGTCATTTGTGCGCAATAGCACCCACATTTGGTCGTCCAAATACCCTTCTTTTGTTGTTATATTCTCGTCCAAACCCTAATTTTACTAACTTTTCAAAGCCTCATATTCCTCTGAGTACGCCAATTTCCGCGTTTTCATCTCAACTTTTGTACTGCTCCACTTGTCTCTCACTTCCATTATTCGCCGTAACCTAGATACCTCGAAATTATCGTGAACTGTGCCCTCGATAATAATTCCATGATATGAAGAACCTGTTGCAGTAAGAGAGATATTGTTCTTGAATGAAACTTGTTCGCTTTGCCCAACCCTCCTTTCAAGAATAACCAAACCTTGTACCTCGGGCGACCGACTGGCCAGGATCTGATGCGCTTGTACTGTCTGGGCCAGGATTCTAACCCTCGAGTCTATCATATTAATGCGGCTCCGATGCATGATGCATCCCCAGTGCTGCACAAGGCTCGGAATCCACTCGTTCCCACACGGGAAAGGCGATAATTCAGTATTGCTCTAAATGTTGCGCATGATTCCAACACTCTTCCCATGTGGGAACGTGTGTTGGGGATCATGCGAAACATTTAGAGCAATACAGAATTATCGCCTTCTTTTCGGATAGAAGATTCTCGATGAAAATAATTAATTTGTAGGTTTCAGATATTTTTCCAGTCTTTTGCCACCTAAACCTTCTCCCAAATAATTCAAGAGACTTTTGTGGAAAAAGACAAAATTTGTCAGTTGACTTGCCTTGGAGTAGACTCCGGCATTGTCTATATCAACAGTATTTGACGTACTGCTGGACGTAGCACGAGATCTCGACCGATCTTTCCCTGATTGACGTTGTTTCCAGGTTCTTTCATTCTCTGCAAAAAATATGTCTTAGAAATTTAACTTACTACGAGGAATTATTTATTCGAGGTTTTAGTTGCTCTTTGTATTTACAAGAAATAAAAATGAAAGGGATTTTTTCGTCATCAGTATCATAACGAGAAGGGTCTCCGAGACCACTTGGAGTCCCACGAGCAGCAGTATCTACTACCTAGGAGCAGCAGTATCTACGACCTAGGCTTCAACTCTCCGATTTCGACTATCGCTGGCTCCCGACGTACCCGATGGCTGGAGGAGACCCTGAGATTTCCCCATCGAATGAATTTGAGGTCTCCTCGTATACCATATCCGACACTATCCGGTCAGAAAACGGCCTAGTTAGGAAGTTATAAAGGCTCAAAGATTGCCCCTTGTATACTCGGACGAGTTCCACCGGCATTGTACTAGGCTGCACCGATCACAAGGGAACCCATGTAGAAAGTTCAAACAACCTGTCATGACCCATAGCGACAGTGGAAGGCAGTTCTGGAAAGTTCTGGTTTGACGTTGTCAGCTCTTTGCGCAATTGCAACAGCTGAAAACTCGTCTGAATACCCCTTCCATGTTACATCCGTCACGGCAGTCTCGTCCAACCTCTATTTCCCTACTTCTGAGGAGCCATATTTTCACGAAGTGGGCGAATTCTCTCGCTTTCTTCACTACCGACGATCTATTCCCAACCTATACTACCGTTTTTCGAATAAAAACGGGTACCTTAAAATTATCGTGAACTATGCCTTTAAAAAGCGAGGACGAGCAGGATCTACGTAGTGTAACGGGTGGAGGACACGATGCCTCGGAAGCGCCTATACGAGTCCAGGACCCGTCCAAGGTCAAGGTTTCTTCCACAATTCGCCATTTTTGTGAAACTTTTTCACTATTTCATTGTAATTTGTCTCATTCGAAACATTTCTTTAAAAAAGGAATGTGATTCAAATGAGGCTGACATTGTAAGCTTTTAGAAAATTCTGTATTTCAAACTTAAGCACTGTGTGTGTGTCTTCCGAATAAGCGGGATGTACATGGGAAGAAGAAAAATGGCAAAATTATATTTTCTACGATTATGGGCTATTTATATTTACTATTTACTATTTTACTATTTACCATTATCTATACAATTAAATTCACTTTTTATGTTCGAGAAAAATCTCAACCCCTCACTACAGTTTTATGAATATTGCATTACGTTTCGAGAGATAATCTCGATAATACTGGTTGCCTTGTTTATGTTTATGCAATCAACATTTTTTATTGCGTGATTGCCATAATGGAGAACCAACCGGAACTGCTTTCTTCGTCCTCTAGCAGAGCGCTTTCAAGATTACGCCATGGTGGTGCCACGTTATCATAGATTGACATAGCGGATGTCTCCATTGTTCCTAATAAGGTATGTCGATTAGGAATGGAAAATAAATCTCGTCCAACAGAGGAGAACAGTTTATCTATCATCTCGCAAAGGAGTTGGCGTGGATCGGAATGACCCAATATAGAAGGAAAGATGGGTTTGATATATTAGGGTTTTCGGAAAGTATCTGCCGAAAATTTTGCACTGATCCAGATTTTCCCAGGGATTTTTTGGAGGCTCTTATGAGAGTTTTATGTGAGGCCATTACTACACGCATAACATATCCGGTTAAGTCATCCTAGCTTCTCTAAAGGTGGTATGTACCTACCAACGGGTTGAGGAGGGTGAGGGGTTAAGGTGGGAGATGGGCAGTAGGAACGGTTTTGTGTAAACGATTCGCCGCACGCGGCTGTCGTGAACTTCGTTTCGCCGTTATTACGGCTCTAGCGTTTTCATGCAGCTCGATCGCTATCCGATTGTTACTTCTGGCATAATTCTACTGTCAGTTCTTTTGTTCCTGTATTCCTTAGTTGCCGTTGCATTCTGATACATTCCTCTCTCGCGCGGCGTCTCTCTTGCCGCGACGCGACGATTTCGTTCCTACTGCACCACATCCGGTTAAGGCAGGTCACCACGTCCTGGCTTTGGGAATGGGACTCTGTGTACTGATGCCAATCTAGCCTTAACTTCTGAGAATCCTTTCATTGACATCCAGTTCATTAGCTGGCATGATAGATCTCCGAAAAACGAGTATGATTTGGGACAGAAATTCAACTTTTTCGTAATTTTAACAAACGGTATCGGGAAGTTTTTCATAAATTCAGGGTCACCAGCTGTTTTGTGAAGGTGGTGTTTACCTACATGGTACAAGAAGCTTGCGGAGGGACATTTGACTAGTTCTATAAGTTGGGAGTGGACACATCTGACCGTCAGAATGCTGCATAGGATAAGCCTATAAATGGTGTTTACCTTGATTGTTGTTGTTCCCTGTTTTGTCACCGTTACTGTCAATGAACTTGATATTTTCACTGCCGGATGACCGTTTCAGTAAAGAAGCGCTTACATTCTTCATATTGGATGAACGACCACCTGTAATGTTTTTTGTGACAGGGAAAAACAAATACTTATTCATTTTAGTAACCTTTCGATGATGGCGTCGTGACGTCATCGATGAACCTTATGGATTGCTTGGTGCCATTGCTCTTTTCGCTTTCACAGAAACCGTTTGCATCTTTACAATCCGATGGCCGACTACACAGAGACGCCACAGCGGCCCCTAGAAGCTGTTTTCTTGGAAACAAGAACATCCAGACTTGTATCAAAACATTTATCGATCAATATTGATTGGACCAAAAAGGGAGAAAAGCCGTCTATAGAGACAGTTCAAGGACCAGGTCCCATTCAGTTCCATGGGTATTTTTTCTTTAGGTTAACTGGATATTGAGAACCCATACAGGTTGTTGGTGGAGGAAGCACCTGTTGGCCCTAGAGGTCATCTACGAGCCTCTGAGAGAAGGAGGAGCTCTTCCCTCCTTTCCCTCCCCTTCCAAAGACTTCACCATTACGAACGAAAGTAGACTGCATGGCGCTCCCCATTAACCTGAACGGCGCTGATCACGTGATACTGTTGCACATCGTACAGGTTTTACTGATTGGTTAAGAGAGCTGGCATACGGGATGCTGTCAATCATAGTCAATCTTATTATGAACCTTTTTTTGTACTGCCGATGATAACTAGTTTGAGTAGGTGGCACTCACTTCTTCCACTATGTACACTCGAATAAATTCGTTTCCCCATAGAGTCGAATTTCTCGGATTTCCGCATATAACTGTTGATAATAGCAAATTCCAGTAACGCAGAGAAAACAAAAAGCATACACGCTAAAAACTTGCGATTGGTATGGTTAAAAGTGTGAAAAAGATTGGACGAGTTGTCTTACCTCCATACCAGAGATCAATCGCTTTCACGTAGCTGACTTGAGGCAATCCAAAACGGAGACCATTACCCTGAAACACTTGATCTGATAGGGGACATGAACAACACGATCTAAACTTCGAACTTTTGCAAGGTAAATAATAAATAGGAAATTCGAAGTATGAAAAAAAAATTTTGAGAAAGTGGTTGCAACGAAAATTTTTGGAGTCGCCCATAGCCGTTAATACTCCCTAAATTTCGTTTTCATTGTGATTTTTCCCACTCTACAAACCCCGCCCATGGACTACATGAAACTATCTTGCTACTTTTTAGACAATGTCAAGTGTTGCCTTTATACTGACAACAAGGAGATAGTAGGTAATCTTTCCTAAGTAGCCCAGTGCTGTTTGAAATGTCGGAGCTAAATTGGCGCAGAGAAGGCTCTTTCGGGTCCGTTGAACTCTTTTCAAAGGCACAGTTCACGATAGAAATGGTCTCTGAGATTTCCGTTCAAGTTGAACCTGTGCCCACCGACTATAGCACATGGGACATGGTCGGGCTAAAAACCACTGAGACGGGCATAACAAGGGCTTCAAAAGTGTTTGACAGACGTAAAAACTCAAAAGTGGCCACGTTATAGCGGTCCTGTTAAGGCTGAACCATTCACAATGAAGAGTAAAGACGCCGGCGAATAGTACGCCATATGAGAGAAACCCAGGCATTTATAGAAGGCGACGCATTTGTACGTAACATGCAATCATACGTCCCTCTTTCTTTTTCAAAAAGACAGTATTTTATGCTTTGGACTATGCCGTCAGTGCTATGGATTTGTCCGATGGAATTTTGCCCCATTGTTGCTAGCTTTTGACACTACACTGCGCCAACTGACAGCCATGTACCTCTTCCTTGCTATTCTGTTCTTTACAACTCAGGACTATCGTGTACTGTGGACACTCTCGCAGGTACCCCAAAATAGTAATTATAAAAGTAGGCAACAAAGTAAATTCAAATAAAAAGAAAAATGAGTAGAATTTGGAAACAAAAACTTACTAATGTAGTCAATGACACCAATGTTGTAAAGCTCAGTGTGACCCTTGCAGGTACAGCTGAATAAAAACATTCAATCAAAAAAAGACGACTCTGTTTCTTGTAACAATATGATTGAGTTATAAACTTTGCCTTTTATTGAAAAACTGTGAGCGAATATCAGAAAGGCGCGGCTACGATTTTCGTGGTTATTGGAACGGACTTTAAGCAGACCAACCCAGTTCCTTATCCTTCATGTTGGGTTGGAATTAAACAGAGGTCGCACGGGTTAGCAAAGTGAAGGGAAGAATGCTTCATGATTTCATTTTCATCCGCTTTTATTTGGATTTTTTGGAGCATGGATTGTGTGCAAAGCTTGTCTGCAATTGGTCAATTCCCCCGGCCACCAATCACGTGCTCCCAACTTTAGACCACAACAGTTGGTATGGCTGGGGTGCGCTTCGTTGCGCGCGTCCGTCAAAACTAGGTCATGTGACGCGTCAGCCCGCGATACTTGACAGACGTCGCAGTTGTCAGTGGGGCATACGATTTGCGCTTGGCCCACGGCAGTCAATACAAAGAGAAGATAACACAGAGAAATGCAAATCATTCGCTCCACTGACACTTGGTGGTATTGTACTTTCATCTGGAGACCTCAGTGTTGTGCGCCGCGCGCGAAGTAGGCGGGGTGACCTACTTTCGACGGACGCGCGCAACGGACGTTCTCCGTATAGCTGAGTTTGACATTAGCTATTGCTAGCACAAAAAATCACACCTCGTCGATCGATCCAAAACGAAACCCATGAGATCATCACAATTAATCCAGTCGGAATATATGACTGAACAAGATTGTAACCAATTGAACGTGATAAGTACAAATTCCCTTCCAAACAACTAAAATTATCTGAAAATAGCACTTTGAGTTGTTTACAGATGTTGTGCTAATATGGAATGATGCTCTCTGTTTACCTGCTGTTACTCACCAAGTTTATATGAATTTGGCATCAATGCGTAGCGATATGTTCCGTTACAGTAACCTTTGGCGACAGCGGTAATAACGAATTCCGGTAAACCGATTTCCGGATTGGAACGAATAGGATTTGAATCAAACCACGTAACGTTAACCTGTTTTGCTATGTAGGCATCTGAATAAGAAAAGTTTGCTAGAATCGGTTTTCCAAGTTAAAATTCAAAATATGATTTTATCCTCAATCCCGATAATCTTTGGCGGTTGTAGTGCTGGTTTAGAAAAGAGCTCAGAAGTGTACGTGTAATGAGTAAAGTGTAGATGGAGTAAAGATGGAAGCTCTAGCTACCGACACTTTCAAAGCGTTTCATTTATCGGAAAAAGACAGTACAAAAAAGAAATCACAACAAAGAAATTTTGTTGAGAATGAGGTTTTTCCGCATTTTTTTTTTTGAAATAACGGAATCTTGCAGATATTTCTTTTTGTTGTCTTCGCAAGTTCAGGAGGCTAGACTTTTACAGGTACCAATCATTTTATAGAGCTTTATCTTGTATCTAACTCAAGTGAAATAATGAGGCTTGTGGCGCAGAGTAAAACTGAAATGGCAAAAAAGTGCGAATATCGAAGGATTTGAAAAAATATGAAGCGTCAAGAAAGTAGTAAGAAAAGGGGTGGTACGGGATGGTATGACTGTATCCGTTCGGGTGTCTCGCACATAAGCGTACTATTCTCCCTCACCCTAATACCCTAAAATTCCATAGATAAGAGCGGTTGACACTATCGGTGAAAAATGAATTGGAATGAAATTGAAATT